GATTGGGATTACTCACCTGCAGTTTGATATCCATCTATAGATACCCTCTAATTATGAAGCACTCAAACGTTTCTGCAGCAAAATGGCTCTGAATTTCTTAAATGATTTATTCATTGTTCCTTTGTTATTTTTAGTCTTCTTTTTATGTGAAGTAGCACTAGTCATTATAGAAACATATCAAGAGACATCAGTAGACTCTGGCTTTTCAAGCTGTTCTGATTAAATTCTGGTGAACTAACTTAAACCTTAAATTATTGAAAAGTGTAGACTAGAGCTGCACGATTCTGGATAATTTGGGAATCACAATTTTTTTTTGTCTCAAATAGAGATCACGATTCTCCCACGATTCTGAACTAAACAAAATAATGTGTGGCAAAATATTATTGCTGCAGTCTATTTAAAAGTGTTCAATTAATTTGAATGAATTATTAAACATTTTAATATACACTACCAGTCAAAAGATTTTGAACAGTAAGATTTTTTATGTTTTTTTAAAGAATTCTCTTCTGCTCACCAAGCCTGCATTTATTTGATACAAAATACAGCAAAAGCAGTAATACTGTGAAATATTTTTACTATTTAAAATAACTGCTTTCTATTTGAATATATTTTAAAAATGTAATTTATTCCTGTGATCAAAGCTGAATTTTCAGCATCATTACTCCAGTCTTCAGAGTCACATCATCCTTCAGAAATCATTCTAATATGCTGATTTGCTGATCAAGAAACGTTTTATTATTATTATTATTATTATCAATATTTAAAACACTTTGAGTACATTTTTTCAGGATTCTTTGATGAATAGAAAGATCAGCATTCATCTGAAATAAAAAGCTTTTGTAACATTATACACTCTACCGTTCAAAAGCTTGGAGTCAGTTATATGAGAAATTATAGAAATTAATACTTTATTTAGCAAGGACGCTTTAAATTGATCAAAAGTGATGATAAAGACATTTATAATGTTACAAAAGATTTCAGAATAAATGAAAATAAATGCTGTTCTTTTGAAAATTTCAATTCATCAAAAAAATCCTGAAAAAATGTAGAGAAGTAGTAAAACTATTCAACATTGATACATGTTTCTTAAGCCTCAAATATTAGAATGATTTCTGAAGGATCGTGTGACACTGAAGACTGGAGTAATGAAGCAAAAAAAATTCAACTTTGCATCACAGGAATAAATTACATTTTAAAATATATTTAAATAAAGAACAGTTATTTTCAATTGTAATAATGTTTCACAATATTACTGTTTTACTGTATTTATGATCAAATAAATGCAGCCTTTATGAGCATAAGAGACTACTTTTAACAAATTTTAACAACCCCAAAGTTTTGAATGGTAGTGTATATTACTTTTCTGAGCAATCAGATTCACAACGTTCACCTCTCCGATGATAAAATGAACAAAAAGGGACCAGAGTCAGATTTAGCAATAGACAACTACCTAGCAACCACTTAGAACACCTTAGCAACTGCATCACAACGCCATGGCAACCACCCACAACACCCTAGCATCATAGGAGCCACTCACTCCTTGTAAATGTCAAATTTCAGCTTCTAGTTTGAGATCAATGATACTGAACCACCACAAACCTACAACTCTTAAAAATAAAGGTTCTTTATTGGCATCAATGGCTCCATTAAGAACCTTTAACATCCATGGAATCTTTCCAGTCGACAAAAGTTTGTTCAAAAAGTTCTTCATACTAAGAAAATATGGTTATTTTAAGAACTGTTCATTTAAAGGTTCTTCTATGGCATCACTGCAAATATCCCCTTTTGGAACCTTAATTTTTAAGAGTGTAGTTTTAGCTTTAAACAAATGTTACAAAAGATTTCTATTTCAGATAAATATTGCTTTGAAATCACAGGAATAAATTACTTTTTAAAATATATTCAAATAGAAAGCAGTTATTTTAAATAGTAAAAATATTTCACAGTATTACTGCTTTTGCTGTATTTTGTATCAAATAAATGCAGGCTTGGTGAGCAGAAGCAGAAGAGACTTCTTTAAAAAAAAACATTAAAAATATTACGGTTCAAAAACTTTTGACTGGTAGTGTATATGTTTTTAAAATATAATATATTTAATACATCAATTTAATATTAAAATGATGAAAAAGTTGTTTGAATCAATGATTCAACGACTCACTCATAAACCAACTTGATGAATCAGCGTTTTTGAACGATTATCTTGAATAAATGATTCATTCATTTATACATTTTTTAAGTCACTTCTCGGCACCTAGTGGCGAATCAATGCAATCGACACAAACGTTATGTGGCAGTTACTTTCAAACGCGGATTTGCTCTATTTTGGTCGCGCTACCATAGACATCAATGTTTATATCTGAATTATAAACTTTCATCCCAGTATTTCTGGGATAATATTAATGACTGTACGACATAAATAATACTGTGTAGTTGAAAAGACTGTTTGTGAAGCTGTTTCTTAACCAAACATGGTAACTGCTCTGTGTGTCAGTGTCAGTGCGAACGCAGATTTGAATGATCCCGTAAGACTTTGTCAAAGGTTTAATAGACACGGGAGAATCGTTGTCATTTAGAAATGAGATCGTGTGGTTGTCAGAATCGAGATCGCGATCTTTTAACGATTAATCGTGCAGCTCTAGTGTAGACCCTCTTTTCTTTGCTGATTTCACCTATTGTATGACAACAAGCTCTGTTCTATTTATTGTAATTGTTTCTGCGTTGGTTGCCTCTGCTTCTTGAATCAGAAAGAAATGTCAACAGCTGACCTATTGAAAAATGCTCTGTTGCTCGACCTTGGTGTTGTGCTATTAGTTGATGGTATGGTTTGTCTTGAAGTGATCTTCTGTAATTATAGCTCATCAAGACCTGTTTATCCCAATTAATGAAGAAAACCACTTGAACCTCACAAGTGGCTGATTTGAAATGCTTTAGGAAGCAAATAGTGCTCAAATTATTTTGCTGTTAAAAATAAGCAGGCAAGTGGAAACCAAGTGAGCCAGAACTACCACTGGTGCCCCCTCAAAAACAAGTCAGTGTTGCCTTAAAATGCTCCTTACGTGGGCAGCTCACTAGGAATTTTGGAATAGTGGCGCTTTTTGAATACCTTTTTTTGTGCCATGATCAGATACAGATGCAAGTACATTCTTGGCAAAAGAAGACTGGGGTAAAGCAAAAATAGAAATGCAAAGACTTTTACTTCACCTAACTTCCGACCTTAACAAGATTGTGCTACTCTTTCTCCCAGCCAAGATCTCCTCACCCACTCTTGTTTCTTTTCATCTTCTGCAAGTCACTGAGTTAATGTATCTACATACATAAACTCTCTCAGTTTTGAGTTTGAGTTTCACATTTGAGTTAGCAGGTTTGGGCAAGCTATTTAAAAATGTATCTCAATATCTATATATCTGTTTTTATATTTTATACTAAAATTACATTTTAGACCAAATAATACAGTTCACTTCACCCATGAAAACCATTTCAAACAAAGGCATAGCATTTCAGATTTCCTGCATTTCAGCAAGTGTTTCAGTGTTTTTGAAATAATCGGTTGAGTGAATGATTCACTGACTCACTCATAAAGGTCACTTGTCACTGCCTACTGGTGAAACGAGTCGATAACAAAAAACAGTTTGTCTGTAATGCACAAACCCACACTTCTGTGATTTTTTTTTTTTTTTTTTTTGTT